GAGTAGCTGGGATTACAGGCACGCGCCACCATGCCCAGCTAATTTTTTGTATTTTTAGTAGAGACGGGGTTTCACCGTGTTGACCAGGATGGTCTCGATCCACCCATCTCGGCCTCCCAAAGTGCTGGGATTACAGGCTTGAGCCACCGCGCCCGGCACCCTCTACTGTTGTTGACAGGAGCCACCTCCTGTTGTTAACCTCTGTTGTTATCATCTGGGTCATCCATTGCTATTACTTTCCTCATTGACTTTGCATTTCCTTTCCTTTGAAGACTGCATCTCTGCTGTGGCCTGCTCAGTTAACTTATTTGTTCTGGAAGACTGCTTTTGGAATGGCCTTCCCCACGAAGACTTCTCTAACTTTCTCCTTTCCTTTTTCCCTTACCCTTTGTTTCAACTAACTGATGCTCACTAGTTGATTGAGTGTGCGCCAAGAGAAGGGATTGTGTAGTTGTAGTGTCCAGTACAGTGTCTGATATGCAGCAGGCAGTGTTTATTGATGAAATTAACAGAGTAATGTACTGACAAATTTTAATACTTTTGTCAATGAAAAGTGTCAAACTCTGAAAAATATTCGAAGAGATTTATTCTGCACCAATGCCAACAACACAGCCCAAGGAGATCCTGGGAACGTGTGCTTAAGGTGGTCAGGCTACAGCTTGGTTTTATACATTTTAGGGAAACATAAGACATTGATCAGTGCATGTAAGATGTACGTTGGTTTGGTCTGGAAAGTTGGGACAACTCCAAGGGTGAGTGGGGCAGTCTTCCAGGTCATAGGTGGATTCAGAGATTTGGTGACTGGCAATTGGTTGAGTTTATTTAAATCCCTGGAATCAACAGACTGCAGTGTCTGGGTTAAGATAGGGGTGTGGAGACCAAGGTTCTGATTATGCAGATGAAACCTCCAAGTAACAGGTTTCTGAGAGAATAGATTGCAAATGTTTCTTTTCAAAAAATTTTGTTATTTTTTAAAGAGATGGGATCTTGCTATGTTGTCCAGGCTGGTCTGGAACTCCTCAGCTCAAGCCATCCACCTACTTCAGCCTTCTAAAGTGCTGGAATTATAACCTAGACTGTTAATGGTTTTGTTTTTCTTTTTTTTTTTTCCCAAAATGCAAACATCCCGCCCTTGCCCCCCAACAGAGCTTTGCTCCCAGGCTGTAGTGCAGTGGTGTGATCTCCGCTCACCGCAACCTTCACCTCCTGAGTAGCTGGGATTACAGGTGCCCTGCCACCGCACCTGGCTGTTTTGTATTTTTAGTAGAGATGGGATTTCACCAGGCTTGTCTTCTTTTAAATTTATTTTTATTTATTTTTTTTTTTTTGAGACGGAGTTTCGCTCTTGTTACCTAGGCTGGAGTGCAATGGCGCGATCTCGGCTCACCGCAACCTCCGCCTCCCGGGTTCAGGCAATTCTCCTGCCCCAGCCTCCTGAGCCGCTGGGATTACAGGCACGCGCCACCATGCCCAGCTAATTTTTTGTATTTTTAGTAGAGATGGGGTTTCACCATGTTGACCAGGATGGTCTTGATTTTTTGACCTCGTGATCCACCCGCCTCAGCCTCCCAAAGTGCTGGGATTACAGGCTTGAGCCACCGCGCCCAGCCTATTTTTATTTTTATTATTTTTTTAAAGACGGGGTTTCACCATGTTGGTCAGGCTGGTCTTGAACTCCCGACCTCAGGTGATTTGCCCGCCTTGTCCTCCAAAATGCTTGGATTACAGGTGTGAGCCACTACACTCGGCCTTCACCAGGCTTGGTTTGAGCTCCTGACCTCGGCCTCCCAAAGTGCTGGGATTACAGGCGTGAGCCAGTGTGCCCAGCTGCAAAGTATTATTATTATTATTATTATTATTATTATTTTTGAGATGAAGTCTCAGTCTGTCCCTAGGCTGGAGTGCAGTGGCACGATCTTGGCTCACTGCAACCTCTACCTCCTGGGTTCAAGAGATCCCCCTGCCTCAGCCTCCCAAGTAGCTGGGACTACAGGTGGGTGCTACCATGCCTGGCCAATTTTTTGTATTTTAGCAGAGACTGTTTCACCATGTTGGCCAGGATGATCTTGATCTCCTGACCTCATGATTTGCCGCCATGGCCTCCCAGAGTGCTGAGATTACAGGTGTTAGCCACCACTCCTGGCTGCAAGCAGTCTTTATTATGAGAAAGCAGTGTTAGCTAGGAAAGTCACAGGCTGGCTTCTTTCTAATAAAATGACAAAGCACGTTTCTTAAATAATTTACAAAGGGCAGAAGTTGCTCTCGAACAGGGCTACCCCTCCTGGCACACCCACAGCACTCTGCCTTGAGCATACATATAGCTACCTGTGAGCCCAGAGTCTTAATCCTGGAACTGTCTCCTATGCCTTCCTCCGGGTTCCTGGTAGGGAAAGCAGGGATGAAAGTGGTGCCCCCAAGATCCTTGGCACCAGAAACAAGTGGGCGAGTGACTCTGTGGATGACTCCCCAAAAACCAGGCACCTGGGTACACAGTTCAGAGCTCTCAAACATCTGATGCTGGCACTTCACATTATAGACGAAGCAAATACCAGGCCTCCTGGTCAAGTATACGATGAATTTCTAAGCCCAAGAGTTCCCTGGGGGAGTAGAAGGAACAATTTTCCCCACCTTTGCAAGGTCTCCCCAAGACGGTCTCACTCAGGCTGTGGCAGGCAGTCACTGATGGGTCCAGATGTGGCTGGAGCAGGGGGCTCTGGGCCCCTTGCTAGTCAGGTCCTTATTAGCAGTGGCCCAGGGGTACTCATGACTCCTAGGAGCTTCTGCCAGGAAGCTCATGGGGAAGCACAGACATTCTTGGGTATGAAGCCTTGGTGGTCAGTCAGGGCTTGTTTCCTGCAGGGCACTTCCTCAGTCATGAATGAGTGTCATTTCATCATTTTCTAAAGCCATAATGGCTTCATCCAGCTCTTGGCACAGCTTCTGGAGATGCTGAATTCCTGCCCTCCCACAGACCCTAGGCCACTATCAGACTCGCTGGTAGAGTAGAGAGGCTCTGTCAAGGAGTAGGGGCTCTGGAAGGCGGCTTCCTGCCTCCATTGCTGTAGTGTTTGGGCACATGAGTCTGTCCGGGCAGAAAGGCGGTGATGCCCAGGGGTCTGTGGCTCCAGACAGCCGGGTCCTCCTCTGGCCCAGGCTGTGAGCTGGGGAGCCACTGCCCTTTTGTACCCCTTCTTCCTTCTGGCCTTCACTTGGGTCTCCACTAGCCACTTGGTGGCACTTTGGCAGGACTCCTGGATTCTCTGTGATATGGCACCCAGGGTTCTCTTAGCTGAGCAAGCTGAAGCCTGGAGTCTCTGCTGCCCTGACTCTGTGGTTCCTAGGTGTTTCCAGGAGGGGCCTGCCCTGAGGTTGAAGTTAAGGGCTCTCAGGGGTAGCCTCCTTTGGAACTATCTACACAGAGAACCCAAGTCCCTGGCGGAGATCAGATGGCTGGCAATAGGCTGCAGCTCCTTGCTATCTACCAGCTGCTCCTGGTACTGGAGAGATTTCCAGCGCATGGAGACCCTCGCGTCCCGCCAGTGAGACGCGTCCCGCCAGTGAGAAGCCGTCTGTCTGGCCAAGAGTCTTCTCTGCTCACTAGACCTCAACACCCCCAACATCTACTCAAAGCTGAGCACTGCAAATGTTAAATGTTTCTTATAAGACTTACAGACAGCTTTGCAGGGCCATTTCAAAATATGTCAAAGCTATATATTTTGGTCCAGACATGATGGCTCATGCCTGTAATCATAGCACTGTTGGAGGCCGAAGGAGAATTGTTTGAACTTAGGAGTTTGAGACCAGCTTGGGCAACATAGTGAGACTCTGTGTCAATGGGAAAAAAAGGGAGAGGGGAGTAAAATAATCCTGAAATACTTTTTTTTTTTTTTTTTTAGGCGGAGGGAAGTATCGCACTGTTGCCTGGGCTGGAGTGCAATGGCATAATCTCAGCTCACTGCAACCTCTACCTCCTGGGTTCATGAGATCCTCCTGCCTCAGCCTCCCAAGTAGCTGGGACTACAGGCGCATACCGCCACACCCGGCTAGGCCAATTTTTTTTGTATTTTTAGTGAAGACGGGGTTTCACTATGTTGGCCAGACTGGTCTTGAACTCCTGATTTTGTGATCTGCCCGCCTTGGCCTCCCAAAGTGCTAGGATTACAGGCGTAAGCCACCATACCCAGCTCCTGAGGACTTCTTTTAGGGTTTGCCATCATATTGGTATTTTATTGCTACCAAGAGTATGTTTTGTCAGTCCTTTTTTTTTTTCTTCTTTTTTTTTTTTTTTTTTTTTTTTTTTTTTTTTTTTTTTTTTTTTTTTTTTTTTTTTTTTTTACAGGGTTTTACTCTATCGCCTAGGCTGGAGTACAGTGGCACAATGTCAGCTCACTGTAACTTCTGCCTCCCAGGTTCAAGTGATTCTCCTGCTTCAGCCTCCCAAGTAGCTGGGATTACAGGTGTACACCAACACACCTGGCTAATTTTTTGTATTTTTAACAGAGACAGGGTTTCACTATGTTGGCCAGACTGGTCTCGAATTCCTGACTTTGTGATCCACCACTCGGCCTCCCAAAGTGCTAGGATTACAGACTTGACCCGCCACGCCAGGCCTCTTTTGTCAGTCCTAAGGTCTCTGTTTTAATGTTAATGCTGGTCAGCTGTGCCAGAATTCTAAAGGGAAGAGAGTGTAATGAGGCATGCCTGACCACCCATTCCCAGGATGGCCTGAACTAGGGTTTCAGGTTTACTTTTGAGAGAAGAAGGGTTCACCTTCATTCAGTTGGTTAGGGGCTTAGAATTTTATTTTTGGTTTACACTTTTTTATTTTTTAAGACGGGTTCTGGAGAGCAGTGGCCTCTCCATCCTAGGTTCAACTGATCCCACCTCAGGACCCTCCCTATCCCCCCGGTAGCTGGAACTACAGGCACACTACTGCATCTGGCTAATTTTTTTTTTTTTTTTTTTTTTTTTAATCTTAGGTAGAAACAAGGCCTTGCTGTGTTGCCCAGGCTGGTCTCAAACTCCTGGGCTCAAGCAGTCCCACCACCTTGGCCACCCAAAATGCTGGGATTACAGGCATGCTTTCTTATTTTTGGCAGAAAATAGCTTTAACTTTGAGTGATTTAACCAAATGATGACAGTGATGACACCTCAATGCTTCCCCTGCCTGAGACAGAATTTCTCTTAATGGCCTGGGCTAGAGTACGGTGATGTGATCATAGCTCACTTCAGCCTTGACCTCCTGGGCTCAAATGGTCCTCTCACCTCACCCTTCTGAGTAGCTGGGACAGCAAGTGCACACCACCATGCCTGGCTAGTATCTTTTTTTTTTTTGAGACAGAGCCTCACTCTGTTGCCCAGGCTGGAGTGCAATGGTGTGATCTCAGCTCCCTGCAACCTCCCCTTCCTGGGTTCAAGCAATTCTCCTGCCTCAGCCTCCCAAGTAGCTGGGATTACAGGCACCTGCCACCGTGCCTGGCTAATTTTTTGTATTTTTAGAACAGATGGGATTTTGTCATGGTGGCCAGGCTGTTCTCAAACTCCTGACCTCAGGTGGATCCACCCACCTTGGCCTCCCAAAGTGCTGGGATTACAGGCATGAGCCACTGCATGCGGCCTTGCCTGGCAAATTTCTAAACACAGTTTTGTAGAGATTTTGGGGGGTTGGGGGGGTCTCACCATGTTGCCCAGGCTGGTCTTGAACTCCTGGGTTCAAGCCGTAGTCCCCCCTTGGTCTACCAAAGTGTTGGGATTGCAGGTGTGAGCCACCACACCCAGCCTAATTGCTTAGGTTTTATAGAATAATTTAGGAATTGTTTCTCTTTAGCTGAAAATACACATTTCAGCTGATACACGTAATTATAAAAACACTGAGGTAGAAAAACTTGCCTTATCCTTTTAATTAACCCTGCCTTGAGAAGGGCTAACTGATCAATTAGCAGTTGAATATGACAATGTAGTAGTTTCATAAAACAGTAAAAAAAAACCTCAATACATTAAGCATACAGTCATACAAATATGAAGTGTTTTTTTCCTTTTCTATTTTTGTTGGGTAAGTATGGGGAAATTGATGAATTTTGTTATAGCAAAGGAACAGAATTGGTTGGTATTTTTGGTGGGAAGAGAAGAGCTGAGCCACCTTAAAAATGTTTTTTTCTTAGCTGGGCATGGTGGCTGAGTTCAGGCAATCCACCCGTCTCCCAAAGTGCTAGGATTACAGGTGTGAGCCACCACACCCGGCTGATAAAAATTACTTAACAATTATTTGTTAAGTAATCAGTATTCTTCAGCTTTCCTCGTACTTGCTTGTATCCCAGCCACCTAAATAAAACCCATTTAAGCTTCACAGAATATTAAGAGAAGTGAGAAAATACAAAGGTGTAGTGGGGAGGAATGTAGTCCTTTACCTTTTCCAGTGGATCCCAGTTTCCCAAGGAGAAAGGCAAGATTTCCTAAGAATATTAGAGTAATCGCAGGTTTAAGAAGTAAATCCTGGCTGTGTGCGGTGGCTCATGCCTTTTTTCCCAGCACTTCGGGAGGCTGAGGTGGGCGGATCATGAGGTCGAGAGATTAAGACCATCCTGGCCAGCATGGTGAAACTCCGTCTCTACTAAAAATGCAAGAAAATTAGCTGGGTGTGGTGGTGTGTGCCTGTAGTCCCAGCTACTTGGGAGGCAGAGGCAGGAGAATCGCTTGAACCTGAGAAGCAGAGGTTGCAGTGAGCCAAGATCACAATGCTATACTCCAGCCTGGGTGACAGAGTGAAACTCCATCTCAAAAAAAAAAAAATAGAGTTAATCCTTTAGCAATTCATTGTTCTATTTTTGTTTCCTGCGATAGCAAGCCAGCTGACATGGTCAAAGATGCTTTGACTAGCAAGGCCTCTGGGCTTACAGAAAGAGAAAGCTGATTATGTAGTTTTCCTATAACCTCCACCCGCCCATACTCACAGGTATCCTACCTAGCTGGTCCCTTTTCTTGCAGGCCTGGCATTTACCCTTTCATGGATTTTAGTAAAACATTTATTGTTTTTTAAGCTTCATTAACTAGTAGTATTCATGGCAGAATACTTGGAAGAGTCAGGAAAGTACCACCAGTATTGTGGGTTTACTTGTGTCTGCCAAAAATATATGTACAAGTCCTAGCCTGGGCTGGTCCGAGTGCAGTGGTGTTTATAACAAACAGTTACAGATTTCTTTGTTCCTTCTCTACTCCCACTGCTTCACTTGACTAGCATTTAAAAAAAAAAAAAAAAAGAAGTCCTAGCCTGTAATACCTGAATGTGACTCTATTTGGAAATGAGGTCTTTGCAGATGTAATAAAGTCAAGATGAGATCATCATAAAGGGCCTTAATCCAATATGACCGTTTCTCACTCTTTTGCCCAGACTGGAATGCAGTGCTGTAATTCCCACTTACCGCAACCTCTGTCTCTTTGGTTCAAGTGATTCCTCCTGCTTCAGCCTCCTGAGCAGCTGGGATTACAGGCGTGTGCCACCATTCCTGGCTAATTTTTGAATTTTTAGTATAGATGGGGTTTCACTATATTGGCCAGGCTGGTCTCGAACTCCTGACCTCAAGTGATCTGCCTACTTAGGCCTCCCAGAGTGCTGGAATTACAACTGTGTGCCAACACGGCCAGCCCAATATGACTGTTCTTATAAGAAGAGGAGAGAAAGACGTAAACAGAAAATGGCCATGTGACGATGGCAGAAACACATATTGGAGTGATAAAGCTGCAAGACAAGGAACAGCAGGGATTGATGATGACAACAGAAGCTAGGAAGAAGCAAAGAAGGATTCTCTTCTATAGTTTTCAAAGGAATATGGCCTTGCTGACACCCTGATCTTACACTTCCAGACTTTAGAATTGTGAGACAATGAATTTGCGTGTGGTGTTTTTTGTTTTTGTTTTTTTGAGACGGAGTCTTGCTCTGTCTCCCAGGCTGGAGTGCAGTGATGCCATCTTGGCTCACTGCAGCCTCCGCCTCCCAGGTTCCAGTGATTCTCTTGCCTCAGCCTCTCGAGTAGCTGGGATTACAGGTGCATGCCACCATACTTGTCTAATTTTTGTATTTTCAGTAGAGATGTGATTTCACCATGTTGGCCAGGCTGGTCTCGAACTCCTGACCTTAGGTGATCTGCCCACCTCAGCCTCTCAAAGTGCTGGGATTACAGGCATGAGCCATTGCGCCTGACCAAATTTCTTTTTTTTTTTTTTTTAAAGTACTTTGTTATGATAGCCCTAGAAAACTAATACATGTAAGAAAAACGTTCAGTCAGGAACTGCTTATGTTAATATTGTGTTATGTAATCTTCCAAACTTAAAAACACCTTTTTTTTTTTTTTTATTTTTTTTTTTTTTTTGAAACAGAGTCTCACTCTGTTGCTTAGGCTGGGGTATAGTGGTATGATCATGGCTCACTGCAGCCTCTACCACCCAGGCTCAGGTGATTTTCCCCCACTCTAGCCTCCTGAGTAGTAGGGACTACAGGCACATACCACCAAGCCTGGCTAATTTTTTTTATTTTGTTTTTTGAGAGGCAGTCTTGCTCTGGCACCTATGCTGGAGTGCAGTGGCATGATCTTGGCTCACTGCAACCTCTGCTTCCTGGGTTCAAGCGATTGTCC